TCTAGCCATCACCATCATCATCACCATCATCATCATCATCATCATCATCACAGACACCGTCGCCATCGTCATCATAATCGTCTATAGCAGCAGCAGCAGCAAGCACCAACAGCAAAAACTGAAGAAAAAAAACCCAGAGCAAAAGCATCAAAGTAAAAAAACCTATTTCCACACGCACCTCTCCTCCCTTTTTCTCTCCCCCCCCCTCCTTTTTTTGCAACCCTATATCCCTTCTCGCCGACCACATTTTCTCTTTTCATTTTTATATTCGTCACTGCTTCACCCAAACATGATAATTATCTTCATTTCTCAGAATGTTACCATTCACTCTGGCATCATGTTTTGTCCTTGATGAATTTGGAAAAATTGCAACCATAGTACCTAAGCATGCTTCCACAATCCAGTTGACTTTTTTGGTACTGTTTTTGTTTTTGTTTTCGTTCTTAAATCCACAACCTCATCCACACCCCTTTTACACATTTTATCATAGCCTTTTATTATGCTTCCGCCACCATTGGTCAACTTCGACATCTTCTTACTATCGCACACCAAGAGAGACGTGACGTGCTGACCATGAGATTTCATCGAAATTGAAGGGTTTTACAAATTGTACTCACCCCTCCTACCCCCACCCCTTCTATTTTGAGAATTTTCTGTATCATAATGACTTTGTCCATGGAGACACCTGTCTAAGAAAACCATTTTCCCCCTTCTCAAGAAAATGTGGTTTCTTGAACAGGTTCGAGTGTATTTTTCGAAATCATAATAATAATTATGGTATCGCGCGCGCCTTTCCATATCGTCGTGTGTGCACAGTCTTTTATTTTATCCTTATATTTTGTGGTGACCCTAACCTTAACGTGCCCAATGACCCTGACATATTTTCCCAGCCCAACTCCTCCCAGAAAGAGTTGCACAGGTGTCTCAAAGACGGTGTCTTGCTGTGCAAGTAAGTTCCCCTCACCTCTAGAGCGTGCATCTCTCGGAATGACTCACTCTCACGCTAACGGCATGTGGTAACTCTGCAAAATCTCTCCTGTCGGCTGCCGTCTTTCTTTTTATAGAAGCCACGCAGATGTTCTTTTTAGTTTTTAAAAGATTTAGTAGAGGTTTTACAGCGCTCGCAACGGCATAAGGTCAAATGAGCCCCAGAAGATTAGAGGTGTCACAAGAGAGTAACGAACATAAAAAAGAAGAAGGGGAGATAAGGACTATAGATGTTTGATAGGAAAGAAGAAGCAAACCACACCAGAGTACCCGCCAACCACCCACTAAAGAAATTAACATTGAATTTTAAAAGATGAAAAAAAAAACACCCATGAATAATAAATAGAAAGTAAGAGTAAAGCAAAGTATCACTTCTAATAAAAAAAGATCCCAGCGGGGAATTTTGAATAAGAATAATTACATTTTAATGATCACGCAGTAAACGATTTTGAGGTTATACCAACGTCACTTCAATCACAATAGCACATAATGACACAAATACAACTTTAAAATCACATCATTGTTAGCTGCAGCTGCGAGGCGCCCTGGTTTGGGCAAAGGGGGGGGGGGGTCTTTTTTTAAATCACTGGTTATCATATCTAGCTCAAGGATGCATCTCAGTAACTACTCACATGAACAACATGGCTTCAAACTATTTGTGAGTTTGAATATTATAATAACTATTCTTCCTAAGGAAATTGATACTTTTGCATTTTGTCTGTAACTAGGTCAACCAATCAAGTTGTCGAGCTTCGAAAGTCCTCTTCTTTGCATGCATTCTTTATCAAAGCTATTGCTTTTAACACATGCAGACTTTCTCCTCAGCTTTCGTCTTGTGATAATGAACTTAAAGAACTTAACGTCTGAAGTGGTGTTGCACTACTTTGCTAGAAGTGAGTAACGACCGCTGCTTTGGTACACTCCACCAAGACAGGGTGTTCTACTGTTCTGCTTTTCTGTTGGCTGGTTATCTACTGGGTCGCCGTTTTAATTTTCTTTGACAATGAAACGCTTACAGGACTAGATCTAACCACGAGTCCATTGTTGCTTGCTTTCCATGTTTGTGTGCTCTTGACTATAATTATAAGTAGACCTGTAGCGTTCTTCTATTTGTTGTACCAGAGCTTGTTATTGCCCTGTCTCGCTTACCTAATCTCTGCTCACGCTCAGTCTATCTCTCTCTCTCTCTCTCTCTCTCTCTCTCTCTCTCTCTCTCTCTCTCTCTCTCTCTCTCTCTCTCCCTCTCTCTCTCTCTCTCTGCTCTCTCTGTCTGTCTCTATCTCTCTTTCTCTCTCTCTCTCTCTCTCTCTGTGTGTATGTGTATTTGATTTGTGTGTGTGTGTGTGTGTTTGTGTGTGTGTGTGTGTGTGTGTGTGTGTGTGTGTGTGTGTGTACGAGTATACAAACCCAACCCTTTTTGCTATTTTCTCTGTTTTGCGAAAGCATAACAGTATATTTTTTTGCAGCACATTGCAATTTGTAAAATTATTTCGGCACTGCATCCAAATTACGTGAATGATAAATCTTCAATTTCATGCACATAAACCACCTTGTAAGCCCACTTTGGTAGAAAACAGTCTCAACTTATGTTCACTTTAGAGTACATAATTCAAATTCCTTTACAAATTTGTACATAACTAATATGAGTAATTCTAAGATTACTTCTTTGCCACAAATTCCCTCTTTAAGAACAAGAATTGACATATTATTATTATGAAGTAGACAGTCAGATTTCCAACAAAATATTCACACCAATGTTGCTTTTTAAAAGGATTTAATGATCATAATTATGATAAAATTTACTTTGTGTTAAAGAACTCCACGCCGTGCTCTGCATGATCCTTTTTTGCCCATTACTGTAACTTTTCAAGGGCGTAGAGGACACATAATAGTGATATGTCCAATCTGAAACAGAGCAAAGTCGTTGTTACAGGATATTTTGAACACCCTGACAAAAATCAGAACCCTGAATTTGCCTAGTTCACAGAATGCATGTTGTTGCCTGCCTTTTTAAGTTTCAGAAAAAGAAATAGAAACGATAAGACTGTATTAACAACGAACTCAAGTCCCAAAACAGCAAGTCTTAAAGCAATGTCCAATTACCTGAATGCGTGTCCTCAAAGAGTTAAACCCGTCTTTTATAATCGTACGAAAAGTTTTTATGATCGTTTTCTTTTTCTTCTCTAGGCTGATCAACAAACTGTTGGCCTCTGAGGGCAAGGGAAAAGTCTCCTTCCAGAAAAAGGTGGCTTCTCCCTTCGTGGCTATGGGCAACATGGAATCTTTCAACAAGGGCTGCCTTGAGTACCAACTGAGCAAAGAATTCCTTTTCCAGGTAAGACCCAAGAGAAAAATTTCCCTTGCACACAGCTAATGGTATTGCAAAAGCTCAAAGCGAAAACTCACTTAGATTTTAAGATAGAGCTGTTCTGGATATTTCAGAGTTATCAAACAAAGCAAAAGGAGGCTATTTTTAGGGAAGAAAAAAATTTTTCCATTGCAGTCAGGTTTCGAACCACATACCTATTGAATAAGAGGTGAGCACCGTACTTCAAGACCACGAGAGCCCCCTTTTTTACCCTGATGAAAAAGTAAGAGTGTATAATAGGTATGGTTTTGTTATATTGTTGGCGCGGTGGTGGGTTTTTTCCTTCTAGCTCCCCTGTCCTCTGATGACCAGATCAAACCATCAATAATGTATTTGTAGAGGCACTAGCCTACCATGTCTAGGTGCTCTGTTTTAGCCTCTTTCTCCTGTCTGTGAATTTATTACAGTACTAATATGTTCTTTACATTGAGACTCTTGCCTTTATGCGATAATTCTTGTACCATCCACTGCAATCGACCCCATCCCATTTACACCCCCCCCCCCCCTCTTTCATCAGATGACCAATATTTTATTTATAGAGACTTCAGCCATCTATTTTTATATGTGCTGTGTTAGCCATCCCATTTACCAAAATAACGGACTGAAAGATCTTGCCAGTTATTGTTTGAGCGGTGAAATCTGAAGCCTTCACTGTATGCTTCCCGGGAAGCCGAATATGTTTCTGAGTGTTCTTGGGTCTGCTGGGGTAATAATAGTTGTAAAGGGCATAGAGCATGCTGTAACGCGTGGATATGTGTCATATAAATGCAATTCAATCAAATGTACAAACTATTTAAATCCAGGCAGAAAGAAACTGCTGGAATACTACATCTTCCGCATATTCCTATATGAAGTTGAGACCTGGACTTTGGCAAGGAATGAAGAAAACAAAATGAAAGCGTTTGAGTTGGGGTGCCAGAATAAGTTGGAGAACAAAAAAGGCAAACAAAGAGATGCGTCAGATTCTACACACAAGACAAACCTTAAAACGGCATGAGATCATTGTTAAAAAGTTCTTAATGGAAAGATGTGGGGCAGGAGAGCTAGATGAAGGCAAAGAATAACATGGATGGACCACATAAGAACCTAGACTGGCCTGGATGCGGCAGAATGTGCAACGGCAGCTCGCGACCATAAAAGATGGATGGTCATTACACATCAACCTCTGAGTCAGAGATGACACCTCCAGGTATATGCAATTACTTTATTATTATAATTATTACTATCTACTCCTGTTTCAGAGCACTGACCTGTGGGAGGGACGCAAGGGACCCTTCCTGAACGTCGTCAACTGCATCCACAGCCTGGGATTCCACGTGAGTCATTGGATTACGCAGTGTTTGTTGTCGTCGTCATTATTGTTCTTGTGGTTGTCATCATCATCGTCGTCGTTGTTGTTTTTTGTCGTTACTGTTGTTGCCTATCATGATTTCACAAGTGTTGGCGTGATTTTTAAACTGGGGTACTTTTAATGCACTTGTAGCAATTGCTATTGTTCCTAGGGTTGTCCTTAGTTTCGAGAGGGATATTACATATATATAAATTTATATATTCATCCATTTATTAAAATTGATTTACCTATTTATTTTGAGGGGTGGTATGATGTATATAATATTGCAATCGATCCTGACACCGTATGACGTAATAAGTAGTAACTTTCCATTCATAGGTTCAATGTAGCAGCAACTGTCCATTTTTTTGTCCAATGAAAAATCAACTTTTCATTTTTTGACATTGTAACGGTAACTTTTCAATTACCATCTTCTCTGTCGCCAGGCCAACAGCAAGGGCTTCCAGCCCACGTACACTGGTGAGCAGACCAAGTACCTCGACCTGGAGTAGGTCATATGACGTCAACACATGACTGTTCACTCGCCAGTTCATCTTTCACAATTATGCCGCTCTTGTATGCATATTTCCTTGCACTGGGCTTCTACTGTGAGATCACGGAAAAGACTTTAAACGTACAGTGTTCATAAACTGACTCTCACAGAACTATTTTTCAGCCGGGAATTTTATGTCTACCTTTGGAATACTGCAGCTTACTTCTCTTCTTTTGTTTCGTTTTAATGTTTGTTGACTTGTTTTTGTGTGTGTGTAAATCTAGGTGTAAACATTATTACTTTGTGACTTGAGGTGAACAGGGGATTATTCTGCACGTTTGAACTTGAACACATTCGTCTGGATTGTCTACCCCCCCCCTGGTCATTTTCTGTTTGTGACCGTGAGCGTAATAAAAGTTGGTTTGTCGCTGCAGTTTGAACCTTTCTTGTCATTCGCATTTCTTAGCAGACCTTTGCGTTCTATTGCTTGACTTTCTCAAATTTCTGCCGGTTTTACAGAGTAAAAGGAATACATCTATAAAGAGTTTGACACAAAGTAATACGTGGTCTTGGGACAAACTGTGGAATGCATCTCTTAACTAAATTAAATTTGTGTCCACGTGTATTTCACAAGCTCTCTGGGGCAAAGAAATGCCGCATCCCAGTCAAAGCTAAATGGAGAATTTCCAACATAGCTGTACCAAGCGAAAGTTTATTGGCGATTCATAAACCTACGAAGTATTGTTTATGTCTGCAAACTCTGAAGGATACGACCTCTCAGCCTATCAATCAGCCTTAAAAAATCAAACGAATTCAAGTGCGCTTTATATCTGTTACTATCTGTCTGCCATGCAAATAAACACCCTGGCAAGCGCACTATTTGCTTTCACTATTTTTAAATTTTTGTTTTCTGTCTGAGTCTGTTTCTCTGTTTGAATAGAATGATCGAGACATCCAGCAAGCTGAGAGCTAGATATAGGCACTAAATAGTCAACTGTTTAACCAATGAGATGAGGGATATAGAAAATAGTCAATTGTTCAGCCAATGAGATGAGTGAAATAGAAAAGAAACAATAGTTCAACGATCGGGATGAGTAAAATAGACTATAGACAATTGTTCAACCAACGAGATGAGTAAAATAGAAAATAGTCAATTGTTCAACAAACGAGATGAGAGCTTAAATTCAGTCATCTGTCCAACCAGCGAGATGAGAGATGCAGTCGAACATGTGTAAGACGAAATCGCAAGGGAGCTAGAAAAAAAATCCGCCTTCGACAGGGAATTGAGCGGGAGATTGAGAAGGGTTTCAGAGGCCCAGCCGGTCGGCAAGCAGTGGTCAAAACTTTACACCTCTCCAGTGCTATCCTCTCTAGGCTCTAATACTGGCATACGACAGTCCTACTTATTTAGTGCCACCAATGTTTGCATTTCATAGGACCACTGTTTGGCCTATTAAAATCAGAAACGTTTGCACATCTTTGTTTCCACCCTTAGCCCCACCCATCGGTATAATAAGCACAGTCAACCAATGCCACCTCTCCCGTGCATATAATATATTATAACGATTCCAAGAACTCTTTTCTCGACTGGCTGTACGATCAGAGTGTCAGTCGGCGGGTCAAACAAAGTGTGGAGCGTCACTCGAGCACTGTCACAGGCACTGGTAAGATTTGTGAGGGGAAGAAAAGAAGGTTCTATAGTATCAGTTGCACCCTCCAACCACCAGCATTCATGTCTCCGATGGAAGGCTCACGTTGTCATATTGACTGCCTTGGCGGGAATATTTCCTCCAGTTTAGAATCTGTCATCGGGAGACATACTACAGTACCACACACAGGCCCTCACACACACGCACACACGAACAAACACAAAATGATGCACACGCTCTTGCACGCCCTCACACACACACACACACACACACACACACACACACACACACACACACACACACGCATAAAGATGTACATAAACACACACACATGCACACGCCAAGATCAGAGAGAGAGTGGGAGAGAGAGAAGAGAGAGATAGAGAGAGGATAAGATAATATAATATATATATATATATATATAGAGAGAGAGAGAGAGAGAGAGAGAGAGAGAGAGAGAGAGAGAGAGAGAGGGAGAGAGAGAGAGAGAGAGAGAGAGGGAGGGAGAGAGGGAGGGAGGGGGTGGGGGGGAAGACAAAATGGAAAAAGAGAAAGAGCTGAGTCTGCTACAAATGCTTCATTCGTCTGAGAAAGGAATGAGTAGGGAGCTATTTCAAAGATACCGTAGTTAGTAAAAATAATTCCCTACAAAATAACCTATTGAATTTTTGACGGGATCGAAAAAGGGATCGCTTGGTTACAAATAATGCAACCATATCACTACACCATGTTGACACCTGTATAGCAGCAGCAGCCATTTAGTGTAGTTTAAGTTAAGTGTTTTACAGGACTTGGATCACATATAAGTCATATATTATAAGTGCCCAAGATAAAAAGTCTGATCTAGAGAGTAACGTACAGAGAAAAGAAAGAGAATAGAATAAGATAATGACGATAGATGTTTAATAGGAAAGAATTAAGGGGCAAACCACACCACAGCACCCGCTGATCACTTAACACGGTCCTTGAGCACAAGAATGAAGAAGAGAAAGAGCTCAGTAGTGTAGAAAGAATTCACAAAACTCCATAACATGCAGATTTAAAATAGTTTAATTAATGAAATGTATCCAATGATGGCATAAGGATACACCTTCTTGTCTCTAACAATTAAAGTAATAATATTTTTAAACAGTAGGCCTAATAATAGTAAAAATAATCATAATAAAAATTATAACAGTAACAATAATAATAATTATAATTATAATAACAATAATAGAATTAATAATAATAATAATAATAATAATAATAATAAGGATAATAGAACAAAGAGCGAGACCAAAAAGTATTGCCAAAAGCCTGGAGGAAAATGTCTGTTCACTCCAGGTGGACATGCGGTGATGTGAAAACATCGGATGTACAAGACATGAGGGGATAAGCAACTGTACATGAGCTGACCCGCAGGATCCCTGATGGTCACTCATACCGAGAGAAAGAGAGGGGCGGGGAGGAGACAGATAGAGAGAGTGAGAGAGAATGTACATGATTTAAACGTCTGGCCTCAATCATCACCATATGGTAATTGTCATCACCATCATCGTCGAACACCACGTCCTGACCACCACGACAAGACTCAGTAGTTGAGCAATAACATATTCAGTGGGTATCTTTCAAACAAAACAATTCAAATAAGGAGTCTGAACTTTCTTCTAAACCATCGGGGCACCTCAAGGTTTTGTTTTTGTTGATGGGCAGTTGAAAAGAAAGAATGATCCATGCCTTTCCCACACACAATGTTTAGTGAATTGTCTTCGGACTGACAAGTCATTGTAACAGGAAAGGGACAAGAACAGTTGAACTGAATCATATTCTTTCATTGTTATTGGTATCTACAATATAGCGTGCTAATCTAAAAATGTACGGCATAAGTTATATCTTTTCAAAAACACACAAACACACACAGAAAATCTAGGGTAAGAGATTTTCTCGTTCAAGAATTAGTGAACTAAACTTTTGAAAAATTCCTGAAGAACAAACAGTGTGATATGGATAGATACTAGACCTAGGTAAAGGAAAGTAACCTTATGACACTAACAACAGCAAAATATGGAACATACAAGCGATTTGAAAAATAAACCAAAACTCCGCAATGAGAACATTTTGAAATATGGTAATTGTCATAGATCTAGTTAATGCAACTTATCCCATGTGCTATGCGTCACTCACTGCTTAAAGTTGAAAGTCAAAAAATTATTTCATAATGAACAATACATAGCACAATGACATAATGACATTACATGCACAACTCGAAAGTACTGAAATATCAAATACACACCTGTACTATAATTAGGTTTTGTCAGATTGGTTTAAAAATCAAATTTCATTACAAAAGGGAAAATACAAGAACAGTTTCCATCTTAAAAGAAATTGACTCGTCTTTACAGTGTTTCAAGAACACACCCATTCTTCGCTTTTTTCTGAGACATTGTTTTGTTGATAGGTAACAAGATTTCATTGGAAGTAAAGTCAAACACACTCCTTATTCAGTTTCTACAAAATCTTCTTTCCTTTGTTTGGGTGACCACAACAGAAATTTATGTAGTTTGAAAAAAATCCCATAGTATTTCTCTTAAAAGTTTACAGAAGTATGAGGGGTGGGGGCCATGTCAATGTGAATTAAATACCATGTAGGCCTAAACAAATTAAAGAGAAAAATTAAAGATCCAGTTGTTTTTTATAAATTGCAGTAGCTCACATTTTTATGCTCAAAGTTGAAATCCTTCCAAATTTGACAGTCAGTTGAGAGTCTTTCTTATCACGAGCTGTAACTTTAGGATTATTGATAACGTTAACAACTTTGAATATCTTGCAACTACATACTTCTAGATTCATTTTCGGCAATATGCTTTGCAGCTTTTAACAATTTCAAAAAGAAACTCTCATCACACGTTCGAATTGTACCGGGAAATATTTAAGTTCCCAGGACACACAGCCTTGCTGAAAATTTTGACACACTTGGGCTCATAAATATTTTGACAGACATGGGATTGAAGTGCACACAGTTCAACTTATTAAAACAAATGGACCGACATTTCTTCTGACACACTAAATTAGTACAGGCCAACACAAAAAAAGACAATATGTTACATTAAGTCTCTTGCGCCACCACCCACTACTTGTCGCTTTCAAGTTGTCCCTCTGATCCAGATTGAATGGTTTTGAACTGTGGTCAAGTGAGGTTATCATTGTATTATCATATGACATTGACATTACAATTGTCATTTTAGTGCATGGGAAAAAAGCAAGATAGGCAGACAAAAGATAACAGAGAGAAAGAAAAGAAGCACACTGTTGAAATCATGGATCCAAAAGAAAAAAACCCAAAAACATTTCAAGACAATAACATGGAACAAATCAAGAGAAAAAGAAGGGAAAATCTAAAATATAAAACACTCCCCTGACCAGGCTAAGCCAAAGAGTTTTATTTTATATATTAACTCAGATATAAACGGCAAAGAACAGAAATGCGGAGAGATGGTAGGAACAGATCAGTTTTTTATAGGCTGAGGCAACTAGGGTTACATCAAATGTTCATGTATGGTTTGATTCATCAACGATCCCCCCAAAGAAGAAAAATACAACATGCGAATGTTAATGTAACAAAAGGTAGGCCTACAGATAAAGCAAAGTAAATTAATCGATCAGTTAACAGCAATGAGAGAAAGCTTGGCTAGATTGTGCGCTGGGAGATTCTGCAAAGACATAGTAACAAAGCAAACGACACAAATAAAATCTTGTATAAAAAAGCAGACCTGAGCTGCAGTTACTAAAATCAGGCTCCTACAAA